GTTTTATTGGCAAATCAAAAGGGTCAGTTACTTCTGGGACACCCTGTATAAGGAAAAGTTGTTGGCAATATAGTAAGAAGCTCTCAGGCCTATGCGTTTGCGACATCGGTGGGAATTCCTTCTCACATATTGGCCGTCACTACGCAACCATCTCCCTCAGTTCGACACTTCTAAACTTTGAATGAACGCAAGTTGCTCACGATTAACTGTATGACTAACAGAAATATTTGTACACAGAATCCACATGTAATCTCAAATGCTTCAACGAAAAAAAATACACTTTATTTTTAAGATAAGCATCCAAATTTTTCGGCAAAACTGCTCCATTCACTGAGACTAAAAGATAAGTTAATCAAATACTGAACACTATAGAGTTTAACATGAAATCCACATCTATTACGGAGACAGATCTAATCTCAGCTTTTAGATTTCGGTTTCTTTACACGTAGAGTAGCATGCTAGAACTGGGAGTACAGAGTGCTGATATGTCGATGTACGGCAGGAAGACTTCGTAGCTATTAATTCAGAGTAAATTGGATTAATAATCTCACCTAGAATGCGATTAGCAAATTGCTGGACCGTTTTGGCGTTGTATTAAAAAAGCATAAGAAACAGCGGCAGCTCAAGGAGCATTCGGATAATACGTTTCAAAATCAATAGGTCTTTTTTAAGCAAGGCTAGAAAAAGAGCCACAGAGCAGGAGAGCACGAGGGAGAGAATTTAGGCATCGATAAATCGCCAGATTAGGGCTTAAAGTATGTGATATGAACGTAAACGACGGATGTAGTATAGAAGTTTACGAATTTTAACTAAGAGGTTTTCAATAGTAGGAGTAAATGAAAGATTGGCTGTCAGAGTAACACCAAGTTACCGGAAAGAGAACACCTCATTGGGCAAGATATCTAAGGATTGGGGACCAGGATAGAGTCGCAATCGGAGAACGCGCTGGACTGATTTGTGGTTATTCAGTAGAACACCGCGGGCTAAATACGTGCTGAGATGTGGTCCAGGTCATCTTTCAATACCTGGAAATGTGACTTACTTTTGAGATGATGACCAACAACCATACCATCAGTATATTTTACATACAAACATTCATTTGGCTTCAGAGAAAAGAAAACATTTTTTAAGCGTTTTTTTCGAAACGGGCGAATGGGCCAAGAACCCTCCAAATGCAGCTTAGAAGATAACATTTTACCGTAAATGCACCATTATTTGATGAGAATGGACAATCATAAAAAAACATAATAAAACTGCACTCAAATCTGTTTCTCGTACTGACGCGAAGGCCGTCACAAGTGTTCCTGCGAGCAGTACAAACTTGCATAGGGTGTTGTGTCGAATGGTTGAGGATTGTAAGTTCGCTCAAAGAGGTAGAGTTCTAGGCAGTCGTAACCCTCGGGATAATAGTCTTCGTGGAATTTGTTCGCAAAAAGCTCTTGCGCCTGCTTCAAACTGGAAAGACTCATTGATCCGAGAATACAAATGCTTCGTCGGGTTTTCGTAGGGCAGTCTTTACCATTCCATTTCTTATACCTGATGAGATTTTGAACACGGCTAACATCCACACCCTCATCATCGCGCTCATGAACACGTAGGCAGGCTCCGGGCGCGCCAAGATGAGGGTTGTAGGCGAGCGTAGCAAACAGCTGTTCATCCGGACACTTGCTGGAGGCGTGCGTTTGCAGAGCTCTGATAATTTCCTTGGCTTTTGGATCAGAAAGCATGTATTCCACAAACTCCCTCCTCAGAGCTGCATGTACTCCCCCTTTTACCCATGTTACCTATAAGTCAGAGAACACAAGACAATATTCAGTTGAAGCCTGCTAACAGTATGTTCCCCTTGGCGTTTTGAGCATCAATAGTAGGGTATAAGTCTAACAGTGCCATTTTATTTCAGGCAAACTAGGGAACCAATACCTATCTAAAACAGTCAGAATGACCGGCAGTCGCAGTCAGGATCGAACACGGCAGGATGGATTGTGACCGAAAGCTCAGAAGAAAGGAAACGTCAACTATAGAACTACGAGAGCAACGAGATCTTCCAAAATAGGTTGTTTAAGGTGTACATTATTATTCATGAATGACAAGAAATGAAACATTCCCAACTTTCCTGAACGACACGAACACGTAAAACGAATTCTAGGGAAGTCTAACTTTTGCAACATTTAATTGTAATATTACCAGAGACAGAAAGGCATTTAACTCGCAAGTTTGCAGCATAGAGCAAAAAGCATGCAACAAGCTAAGTGAGAGTCTCATGTCTTACTTCTCTTAGTGCCATTGAACATTCAGTCCTGCTCTCCGAAGACAAACAATTCGAAGCATGTGAGAAAAATGATTTACTCACTGCGAGACTGAGTCTGCTCCAAAGTAATTTTAAATATAACGGAATGTGGTCCCATTGCTCACACTCGTGTAAGAATTTACAAACTGCATCAGAATCTGCAATTATTTATCGGTTGCTGATCCCACTCCTGGCTTTGATACCATTACAGTAGACACCGTTGCGTAGGGGGGGAGCAATGAGGAAGTAAACGTAAGTCCGGTTACAGTGAGGCTCAATTGTGCAACATCCAACTCGTTGGCTTATTCCTATTTTCCTATGACAATGCGTGCTCATAAAAACTGAACAC